TCTGGGTTGTTTGCCTCTCTTCCTCTGTCAAATCATTAGAAGATTTCAATTTTTAATGAGAAGAGAGCAGTAAGCTTGTGTAATAGTCGAAGCGTACAGGTCTGACGTCTGAGAAGTAGTTGAAGGATAGACAATGTAAATTAAGAAAATTAATGAGGATATTATGGGCATTTCGGAAAACTTCATTAAACCTCCACCGGCTCCTTATTCGCTTTCCGTGAAAGCGGAAATTGAAATCAACCCTTGAGCTGCTTCGTCAAATCGCGTTGGGTGGGAACGGTTTCCTAAGAAAATCAAATTTCTCGACTTTTACCAAACGGGATGGAAAGATAAAAATTTGCAAATAAGTGATTTTGGCACTGGAAAACGCAATGCCAAACAGGCATTTAGTGCGATTTTAACGAAAAAATTATCTGATTCAGTGCGGTCCAGTTTGCCCATAAGCCGGTTAAGTTTTCTATTTTTTCGGTTTTGGACCGGAATTTTTTTTTAATAGAACCCAATTAAAATATTATTTTTTGGACTTAAAAATTCACAAATTGCCTAATTTCATGCAAAAGGAGGTAATTGGGCCTAGGAAAGATAGGTTATTTAGAGTTAGGCTTGGGGAAAGTGTAGGGTCGGTCTGCATGAGTTTTCTGCTCTCTCTCTCTTTTTTTTTTTTTTCTTTTTTTTTTTTTTTCTTTTCCAACTATCCTTACATTAATGAACCTATTAGCTTACACAATAAAAACAAAGCGGATCCGGATCCTCTACTCTAATTTTCTCTGACATGATTTGCTTTACTTTTGTTCTCCATATGCTACCTCATTAAAATTTAATCTAACAGTGTGTTTGGATGAGGAAATTTAAAAATACAAAGGATTTCATAAATGACGGAATTTAAAAGGATGGAAATTAATGTTCTAGAATTTGTAAAGTTTCTTGTTTGGGTGATGGATTTAAAGCACGGAATTTAACCTTCATTTGTAAAGTTATCTTTTTAAAAACTCAATTTCTCTTGGGATTTTAGAAATGACGACTTTTAGATGGAATTTAAAGTTGGGATTTATGATCTCCAAATTCCATGTTTTTTCCCAAGCGGAATTTCTAAATTTATATATATTTTTTTTCCAAACACGGGAATTGGTTCACGTCAATTTAGAAATTTCGACTTTTGTCAAAATCCCAAGTTCATTTCCCTCATCCAAACGCACCGAAGGGACTTAAAAATTGACACATCATCCTTCAAACAAAAGCCCAATTTACTCCCAATTATAAAAAAAATATAATAATAATAATAAAACCCCTAATCCAACTAACGGCAAAGTTAACATCACGTCCTCTTTCTTCTCTTCCTTCTTCCTATCTCACGTCTTTTTTTTTACTTAATCCCTGTCTCACTTCGTGTTCTTATGTTTTTTTCCTTCTTCATGTCTCTGCCTCTCTGCCATGATCTGCTTTACTTTTGTTCTCCATACGCCACCTCATTAAAATTTAATATGAGGGACTTAAAAATTGACACATCATCCTTCAAACAAAAGCCCAATTTACTCCCAATTATAAAAAAAATAAAAAAATAAAACCCCTAATCCAACTAACGGCAAAGTTAACATCACGTCCTCTTTCTTCTCTTCCTTCTTCCTATCTCACATCTTTTTTTTTACTCAATCCCTGTCTCACTTCCTGTTCTTATGTTTTTTTCCTTCTTCATGTCTCTGCCCCAAAATCTTATCTCTCACAACAAGCTTTCATTTCTCCAAAACCTTTGCAATCACAATCCCTTCTTTTTCCCCTATCAAAAGGAAAATCACGTTTTAAGAGAGTGTGTTTTTGTACATTTGTATTACTATTATTGTAGGTGGTGGGATTTTTGTGTTTCTGGGCTTTATGGCGAAGTGGCAGCCTTCTCCGAATTCCAGCGGCCAAATTTGTGATGAGGCTTCCAAATCTAATGCCTTTTGTAATTTTTCACATAGTTGATACACTTATTTATTTTTAACCGTAAAAATCCAATATGTTTAGAAAGCTTCCAGAGAAACAAGAAAAAGAAGAATAAATTCTTGTTTTTCATTTCTGGGTAAAGCCAAGAAGTTCAATATTTGATAATTGTTAATACGTTTTGTGACGTTGGTGAGAGATGAGATTTTGAGGCATAGTCAAGAAGAAGGGGAAAAAAAAAGGACAGGATGTGGAGGGTGTGAGACAGGAAGAAGAAGAAAAAAAAACAGTTCGTTAACTTTGCCGTTAGTTGGATTAGGGTTTTTTTTTCTTTTTTAAGTAGGAGTAAATTGAGTTTTTGTTTGAAGGATGATGTGTCAATTTTTAAGTCCTTTAGATTAAATTTTAATGAGGTGGCATATGAAGAACAAAAGTAAAGCAGATCATGACAGAGAAAATTAGAACAGAGGATCCGGATCCAAAGAAAGCCTCTTTAGATTATCAATATTCTAAAAACCTGTTTCAATTTGGTGCATACTTTGGGAGGAGTAAACTTTTCAAATCATAAATCTCATTCATTTTGCATAAAATTTGTTTCATTTTACTACAACACAATCTTATACGAGGAAGAACAAGATTTAAGAGAGAAACATGCAACAATTGGGATATCAATATATTATTCTTGATTTCATACAACATAATTAGATAAAAATATTGAAGGTTGGCAGTGTTATCTATTAACCTTCTGCTGCATCTCGGTCATAATTGACGTATATGAGTTGATGAACTACTGACAAGATGAATAAAAGAATTCCTTGGAAAAAAGGATTAGAGATGTTGCTTCTCCGGCAAAATAACTAGAAAAAGACTAGAATTAGAGCAAATAGCAAACATTCATATAAAATTTTGTTTAGCTTTCTCCAACATCTCATAATAAACATTCATGTTTTTATGGTTTGCTCTGGTAAAACAACTTATGCTTACACCATCATCAACCGAGCATGTCTAGCACCAAAGCGACTAGCACCAAGGCAGACACGCCTTCTTCCCTGCAGAAGGAAGACACCTTTCCAAGGTAACCAACACCTGCCGAAGCTCCTAACTGCCGAACCTAATCTCCGAGACACATGTCGGCACCACAACAACTTGCACAAAGTCCCATATCGAAATTTTGTGCAAGCCTTCCATTTTCACCTCCCTATAAATAGGGAACAGTACCCAAGACGAAAATGGTAACTAATTTCTTACCTTTACAGTTACTCTGCCAAAATTATCATTCTTAGTTGACTTAAGCATCGGAGAGCCTTCGACCGGCACCACACCGGTATCCGAAGCTTAACGACTGCTTCTTCCACTTTGTTTTCTACAGGGTACCCAGCTACCGAAGGTCCTAGCCATTTTCCCTGCTGAAGACGATCCCCTTCTCTCTAAATTGACCTCCCAAAAAAAGCAGCAAAATCTTTTTATTCCAATATTAATTTCAATTTACAAAATGTTTTTGGGCGAAGGAGTGAAGTAGAATTCGACTTCAAGGGCTGTTACAAAGATATAATATTGACAAATGATTTCGACTAGTACTTACATTCCATGGAACTTCAAAAATCATATAAATATAATTGTTTGACTAAACAAGCTAAGTCTTCAAAGAGGCCTTGGTATGCTTTGACCTTGAGATGGGGTAGTCTCCCCTCCCCTTAATCGTTTTTGAATTGTACAGTTGTTTTAATTATACGGTTGTTACATTGTACATAGGCTTGAGAGAGTGAAATGAGAGTGAAATAACAACTTAGGTCACAAATTCTATAGTGACGGTGTCATATATGGACTATGGATGTGGCTAATATGAAGGTCACATATATGGTCTATATAATAGCTTGAGTCATCCATTGTGGGCTTCCTTGTGAGCTTCAGTGAGGCCCAAACCATGGTACCAACACTAATTAATGTTCCTTCATACAAGTTACAACTTGCAATAATATTTTGGGGCTACTTTCATTCATACTATTTTGTTTTGTACAAAGAAAAATATTAACCAAATCTCGGTTCCATCCAGACACAAGCAAAATAAGTTATTAGAAAAATAAAAATAAAAATAAAAAGGCCAAAGCTAATTCGACAAATAACATATAGGCCAACTAGAACAAAATACAAGAACAAATAGTTAATGTGGATATTTCTTCGCATTCTGCATGTGCTTTACATTCTCCGATGTCCCCGCACTAATGGACATTTCTTCACATTTCTCAAATGCGGGGACGTCTAATTACTGGTGGAGGCCAGCGTGATTGCCGAACTTGACAACCAATTCGCCTCTCTCTTTCCCTATCCTTTCCTCTCCATGACAAAAGAGAAAAGCCAACAGAGTTGTAGGTCCTTTCTCTTTGTCTATTTATTCTCTATGTTGCTGCTATTTTCCAAATAATCACTTTATATAGGCACTCTTGCAGATTCAACGTCGCCAATTGAGAACTTATTTATTGAAAATTGAGATGGGTTTCAGGTGCAAACCCAGATAAGCAACAAAGATGATTTTTCTTGGGTCTTAATCAGTTTTGCAGGGAGAACGTGAGTTTTGTAATGGATTACCTCGTTTAAACATGAAAATTTATCTGAAGATTTACCAAATGAATTGTTCATATTCATTTGGAAGAATAAGCAGAAAATGAAAATGAATTGAAAGTTTATGATGCAAAAATGGCAGATTTACTTTTAGAAAAGTTTCATGTGGGAGAAACTAACTGCAAATTCCCTATGGATGAACACGATGACATTTTTCCTCAAATTATTATCATCAAACAATAACAAATGGGAAGGCTCATGTTGTAAAACAATGAATGCTATAATTTTAATAAAATTTATTAGTTGATAAAAAATTATAATTTTAGTTATTATTTATAGAACACACTTTAGATTTTTGCCCTGAGCCTCAGATATTCAGACGCACATATCCGCCCACGTTTTACACAGACTAGAATCTAGATTAAAATTATATATAATATATATGTATTTTTTTTATTGTATAATTAATTAAGTTTTCGATTCTCTATATTGCAGGAGGGGCTATTAATGCTTCAACAATTATGGAGATATCCCAAGAGACAGCTGTGAAGTTAGTTTCTTCTACTCTTCTAATTATATTATTTCTTAATTTCTCATCTCTTTTTTTTTAAAAAAAAATTTAAAGAAATAAAATTGTATTGAAACAATCTGATCCCATGTTCTTGTTATTTCAATCTGATCCTATTTTAGATGCCAATATTATATATGATCTGATTGTCTTCTTATTCAATGCCTCTCTTGAAGTTTCTTCTTTCTTTTTTGGTTGGATAAAAAAAAGTTCCATAGTAAAGGCCCAATTTCTCTTGCCTATGGAAAGGCTCTCTCACACTAGACAAATTACTGCCTTAATCTTGTTGATCCAATATGGTTGTACACGTGTTATAACATGTCGTTTAGTTTTCCTTTTTGATCCAATTTTGAGTATCAACATTTGTTTGTTATATCTTTTTCAGCATTGTAGAATATACTGCACCAGGAGAATTGTCACTACGAAGGTAATAAAAACGAAAGAACGCATGGATCCATAATGAGCCTTATATCATAGAAAATTTAATTAGGGTATATTTGTAGTACTTGATTTTGATATGTTGTTTACAATGTGTTTTCAGTTGGGCAATCGATGAATCTGCCACTGTAAATGAAGGTCATAGTTCAAGTAGAGAATGGCCAAAAATAGTAAAGAGCAATTTTTATCGAGGTCGGCCATTTCTTCCAAAGTGGAAGAGGGCATTTTTAGCATCATGTGTATTTGGGGTCTTAATAGATCCTGTATTCTTTTATATTCCTATCATCAACAAGGATACGAAATGCATCGGGTTGGACAAAAGTTTGAAAGGAGCTGTTATTTCACTACGATCGACAACGGATCTATTTTATGTAGTGACCATTGTTATTCAAATTTATATCGAACCTAAAGTTCCAACATTTAGGGTCATGGGGAGATCATATCTCCATACCATAGTTTTGACAAAAGGAACCATATTAGTTGAAGATGCTTTGGCAATGGCTAACAGGATTTGGAGGATTTCATCACGCATCGTAATTGACTTTTTAGCTGTTCTTCCCATTCCACAGGTATGAGTAAATTGTTTTACGACCAATCTTTGTTTTTCAACTAAATTTTTTGTATTTGAAATTCGGATATGTGAATATAAGGTAAATTAACTGTTGGCTTAATCCATTGTAGGCAGTGATCCTTATTTTCATGGACTCTAGTTCTTTGAATACGTGGAAGTTTTTGGCTTTTCTTGCTCTGTTGCAATATGTACCACGGGTTCTTCGCATCTACATATTATGTACAAAACTCAACAAGACTCCTGCTAGAGAGACTGAGATCTGGATTTTATTTAAAGGTGCATTCAGTTTCTTTTTGTACATCCTTGCTAGTCATGTAAGTCTCAATCTTCCTATATTAATTTATCTCAAGTGATGCTCCATTTAGTTACCAAGTTTTGATTGGATTTCTTGGCTGGAAACCAAGTGCTCAAATTAATCAACCCTGTCAGCCATTTATGAACAAGAAACATGATTTTCATATGACTTTTTCTCAAAAGTTCGATTACTAATTTACTTCTTGATGTTTTTAGGTATTTGGAGCTTTTTGGTATTTTTTAGCTATCCAGCGGGAGACGGCTTGCTGGCAAAATGCTTGTCGAAACAACAATGGATGTGAACCTACTACCTTTTACTGCAATGGTGGTACAAGCAGAAACGTCACATTTCTGGACGACTTATGCTCTATAAATCCACACAATGCTAATGCAACATCCTTCGATTTTGGTATGTTTGTTGAGGCTGTTCAATCTGGTGTGTTGGAGTCAACAAATTTACCGAAAAAATTCTTTCATTGTTTCTGGTGGGGCTTGCGAAATCTAAGGTTTGAACATAATTTTGCATCCTTGGCTATTTAAATTATTTTTTAAAAGGAACAAATTTACATTGAATTTAAGTGCTAATTAAGATATTATATTTTATATATTTCCTCTGTTTCGATTCTGCAGTTCTCTCGGGCAAAACCTCCAGACGAGTAACTATACATGGGAAAACATCTTTGCCATTTTTATTTCTCTAAGTGGCTTGCTCCTGGTTCTACTATACCTCACTACAAATTTGAAGGTTGGTGCTAAGTCTACATATAATTTTATCTCCCCTTTTAAGCTTAAAGCTCCTCAACATGAAAACCCATCTCCTATTGTATTTCACGGCCATAAAGCTTGATTATGCATTCCTTTCTTGGATGATACAAAATAATTAACTCTTCGTTTCCAAAAACAGAATTTTTAATTTTTTTTTTTTTTTAGTACAAGCGATAGTCAAAACTACAGGGGAGGGGAGGAGGATTTTTCACACACAAACAACTAAGATGCAACGGGGGTTCGAAAGACCTCTAATATGCAAATCAAGACTCTCTTCAACTGGACTAGACCCTGTTGACCAGAACTTCTAAATTAAAACATTCATTACATAATGTCTTTTCGATAAATAAAAAAAAGTACATAATGCCTCTCTCAATTAACTTAGTATTGGAGTTTTGTTGTAAGGATCTCAATCTTGGAGTACTCAAACAATTATTTTGGCTTAATAAAGCTAGATGGTGATATTTTATAAAAAAAAATTAAAAAAATTACATAGAGAATAGATGTCGTTTGACAAAATGGCATTGGCAAAGCTAGATGGTGTTGACATGGAAATTAAGGTTAAAAGAACTCATGATTGTCGTATAACAGATATGTATGGAGTTGGCAACTAGAACATCAGCCAAGATGAGAATTATACGGCAGCTGAAAATGAAAGATCTAGAGGTACAATTATGGTTATCTGAAAATGACATCCCTAAGAATATGAAGGCGCCGATCATGCAAAAGGTGCACAAACAACTTGAACAAAACAAAGATGTTCATGTGGAGAATATCCTCTCTATTCTTCCCTTGGAACAAAAGAGATTTATTAAGCGACATCTCTGCTGGCCTACAATGAAGAAAGTAAGTTCCCCTCATCTCCAAAGCGTTCAATTTTTTGTTATTTTAATTAGTAAAGGGAGTATTGGAATTCCAAAATAGTCGTCTCCTTTCTTATTAATTTTATAATTCGTAGTTTAGTTTTTCTTCATTTAACATGTTTGTACCGTTAAAGTTTTTTAATTAACATCTAAAATTAGGTGCCAATGCTTCGAGTTATGGACGATCAAGTGTTGAAAGAAATCTTTGACAATCTCAAGCCAATGAGCTATACAGAAGACAACTATATAATTGGAGAGGGTGAACCACTTGTTAAAATGTTCTTCATCACTCGAGGCATTTTGTTGACCTACACAACTAACAATGGTGCTAGAACAAGTAGTGGAGGTTCTTCAACCACCAAGTGTCTTGCCAAAGGTGATTTCTATGGAGAAGAACTTCTAACCTGGGCATCAACATTCTCCCCGCTTTCAGACTTACCCATCTCCACAAGATTTGTGAAGTCCCTCACAAAAGTGGAAGCATTTGCACTCATGGCCAATGACTTGAACATTATAGCGTCTAAATTCTGGAGGCATTTTAGCACGGATGGTCGGATGCCGGTACATCTCTCTGCAAATCTTATTCAAACCAACTGGCGCCACCGCGATACAAGGAGGGCTATGAACCGAACCCTCTCAGCTCCCGCAAGGAGGGCAACCCAAACCCTCTCATCTCCAATTGATGACTATTATGACTCATCTGGTCCCCTTGAAGGACGGTAGAAAGACATCATTTGGTTCCTTACATGTATCAAGTCATTTTTACTTAAACTACACTAATGTATATAGAGGGGGTTTGAACTCGAGTGCAACAACATATGCAAATTTGTATTACTTAATTGATGTATTTTTTTATGAGTTATATATTTCAATCAATATTAATATTATTTTTTTATACGGAAATTAGAGAGTATGAACTCATGACCTCAAATGTAGAGATAAATTGTAACCTTTTTACTGTACATTATGTTATTGGATGCCATTTACATATAGTTTTATTCTAATCAATGGTCATGATTGGGCAATATATAATTTGTGATACTAGTCTTCTGTGCTAGTAACGCCACAGTAAAATCAAACTATTAAAAATTTATAAATAAATAAAATGAGAATGAGACCAGAGAAATTTGAAGGGTCCCACCTTACACCGTCCCTAAGAAATTTGTTGTTTTTGTCTGATGATATCCCACAAATTAAAAATAATCATTTGAGTTAGCACAAGTTAATTACTTTCAGGCAAGGTGTTTAACAACGCATGTACAGCCTAGATTCGCTCTCTGTCCTCCACGTGTCCCAACATCTCCTATGGCCAAACCCCAAAAACCTCGCGTGAAGACTAAGATTAACACCCGCCAAATCAAAATTCCTCTTTCACTTTTCGGTGTCGAAAAAATAATCCCAAATATTGGCGAGCTATTTCACAAACTAATTGCAATTGCTACAGGTATGCCTTATTAAAAGCCTTTTTAGCACTTGGAAATTGGGTAGATAATCAGTCTTTTTCAACTAACAAAATGACGTATTTACTAGATAATCATAAAAATTCAAAAAAAAAATCATACGAATTCCTTGTGACATTTACTTCATATTTTAAGCTTTAAATCAATTTTGATGTCAAAACAAATAAATAATCGGATAGATGCGTGGCGGTGGTACGATGGTCAGGTGCAAGGTTTTTAGCTTGCCTTTTGGTTTGGCAGAGATGACAACGTTGAAAGATTATATTACATCATCTGTTTCAATGCTCACAACTCTCTCAGCATATTTCCTTGCCTTAAAAGTTGGAAGTTTTTCCATTTCAATGCGATTTCCTTCCCTTTTGTAGAATCTAAAGTTCTGATAATATTTTGGTTCTGCAGTGGACTTTTGCATAGCCTGCATTCTTTTGTACAAATTTTCTTATTCAATTTCTCAAATTTGAATAAGTATTGAAGCCCTAATGAAATCTTTGTGGTGCTTTTATGAATCATCACAAAATAGTTACTCGCACACCCAATACCCATTTCGCCAAAATTAATGTCTTTGCATGAGATATATTCAGAATACCATATTTTTAAATGTTCAAATAAAGAAAAGGAAGAGGACTGTACCAGATTTCTTAACCAGAGCAAGGAAGGAAGGAGATAACCTCAGCAAGAGACAAGAACCAGAGAAAATAAAGAGAAGAGCTCACTTGTGTTAATCATCAAACAAACACATAATAACATAGCCGAGTTGTTCAATCCATTCTATGCTTTTCTATAGCCCATAAATCAGAAATATTGGTACAAAGAGTAGACAACAAGCAGAGACATGGAATTTTAAAAATTAAAAAAAAAACCGCAAGATCATATCCCCACAAACAAACACATACAACCCCAAATTTTCCACATACCCGCACACCCAAAACTTTCCCGAAGGGAAAGCTAAATCCAGATTGGTACTTGGTAGCCAGTCATGATAGTTTTCACGAAAAAATTTCAGAAGAGGAGAAGAGTGATGCTTTATATAGAAATTAAAGCAAGGAAGCCAGTCTATTGATCCGTCTCTGGATATGGGTAGATGGAAAAATAGATGAGAAAAGAGGGATGTAGTTCATGGAGATTGAAAAGTCATCTGGAAAGGTAAAGTTGATTGCTTTAAGTTTTTTAATATAATTTTGGGGCTAAAATATCAACGTTCAAGGGCAGAGACAACAATGCGGGAAAAAATGGCGCCCGCGCAGAAACATTTTCCGAAAAAGTTTTGGAGCAGAGAGGAGAGAGAACAAATTGAGGGTCAGATTCTAGTACAACAGAGTACAACAGATTCACTTAGAATTGCTTTTTATGAGCCATTAGATTAAATCCAACGGTGTTCTCACATAAAGATTCTCCAAAAAAGTCCCCACTAAAGAATAGCCCTATATATTTTGTTTTGTTTATGCATAAATTTTCCCTTGTAGCCAGGGCCACTGGGGCCTGGGCCCGGGGCCCATAATTAAAAGGGGCACCCAAAAAAAAAAATTCAAGTTAAGCCATATATACGTATAGAACAAAACAAATAAAAAACTAAAAGTCCACAAAAGAAAATAAAAAATAACTAGGCGTGCATATTTGTTTAATCCTCCCTTCTCAAAAGCTCGTGCTAACACATATATCCTAGCAAATATGTTGTTTTTAAATCCTAGCCCCGAAAATAAAAAATAAAAAACAAAACCAGACCATACTAGGTTTTAGATTCTTCTTGTCTCAATTTTCTTATATACCTACCTAATCCCTCACTCAGAGAGTCACATCGCAGCCTCTCTCTTTATCTATCCTTTCCTCTACATGGCAGACAAGACGAAGCAAATAGAGCTGTAAGTCCTTTCTCTTTGTCTATTTATTCTCTAAGTTTCATGACATTTTTCCTCAAATTATTATCATCAAACAATAACAAATGGGAAGGCTCATGTTGTAAAACAATGAATGCTATAATTTTAATAAAATTTATTAGTTGATAAAAAATTATAATTTTAGTTATTATTTATAGAACACACTTTAGATTTTTGCCCTGAGCCTCAGATATTCAGACGCACATATCCGCCCACGTTTTACACAGACTAGAATCTAGATTAAAATTATATATAATATATATGTATTTTTTTTATTGTATAATTAATTAAGTTTTCGATTCTCTATATTGCAGGAGGGGCTATTAATGCTTCAACAATTATGGAGATATCCCAAGAGACAGCTGTGAAGTTAGTTTCTTCTACTCTGCTAATTATATTATTTCTTAATTTCTCATCTTTTTTTTCAATTTAAAGAAATAAAATTGTATTTCTTACTTTTGCCATTAGTTTCATCCTTTTGATAATATTTCCGTCATGTTCTCCGTTAATACATGATGTGGCGGTCAATGAACTTGGAATTGATGACGTGACTTTGATCCACTGAATTTGTGTCATGTTGACCAATAATGAAATAAATAATAAAAAAAATTTACCAAAAAAAATAAAATAAAATATTTTAAAAACAAACATTTTTAAATATAAGTAAGTAAATAAATAAATAAACTTAAAAATAAAAAACCATTATCTAGCTGCCTCCACCTTCTTCTCCTCCATGCACACCACCATCTCCTCACCGTCTCTCTCTCTTCGGATGAACCCAGGCGCAACCCCATCTCCAGATACAACCCCAAACAACCAAATCGCACAGCGAGGAAAGCCCACCCCCAGCCCCTCCTCTATCTCTATTCCCTTTCTCTCTCTTCCTCGACCCCAGAACCCCTGCCCACCCACCCTGTGTCGTTAGTTGCAGAGAGAGGAGAGAGAGTTTTCAAAATTTTATTTTTAATTTTTAATTGTTAATTGATTCTTTTAATTTATTTTATCTATTTGATTTGATTTTATCATTTGATGTGGCTATTATATATGATCTGATTGTCTTCTTATTCAATGACTCTCTTGAAGTTTCTTCTTTCTTTTTGGGTTGGATTAAAAAAAAGGGCTCATAATAAAGGCCCAATTTCACACTAGACAAGGCAGATACCAGTTCTTTTCTTTGTACTAATTACTGCCTTAATCTTGTTGATCCAATATGGGTGTACACCGTACAAGTGTTATAATGAGTGGACTATATCGTTTATTTTTCCCCCTTTTTGATCCAATTTTGTGCATCAACATTTGTTTGTTATATCTTTTTCAGCATTGTAGAACATACTGCACCAAGAGAATTGCAACTACTAAGGTAATAAAAACGAACGAACACATGGATCCATGGTTTTATTTATCTATATTTGTAGTACCTGATTTTGATATGTTGTCTATGATGTGTTTTTTATCTTCGGTTTCCCAAGGTATCCCCAAACATTGCCCAGGCCTAATCCTTCGAAGTACTGTCATGCGCATATGCGGAGATCTCTCATAAGAAATTTTTTTGCATCCATAAGGGCTCGAATCCGAGACCACTTGCTTAAGCGACCAAAGCCCCTTCCACGTAGAAAATTGCCAAAAATAGTAAAGAGGGCATTTTTGGCATCATGTGTATTTGGGGTCTTAATAGATCCTTTATTCTTTTATATTCCTATCGTCAATAAGAAAACCAAGTGCATCGGGTTGGACAACAGTTTGAAGGGAGCGGCTATTTCACTACGATCGACAATGGATCTATTTTATGTAGTGAACATTGTTATTCAAATTTTTATCGAACCTAAAGTTCCAACATTTAGGGTCATGGGGAGATCATATCTCCATACCATAGTTTTGACAAAAGGAGCCATATTAGTTGAAGATGCTTTGGCAATGGCTAACAGGATTTTGAGGATCTCATCACACATCTTAATTGACTTTTTAGCTGTTCTTCCCATTCCACAGGTATGAGTAAATTGGTTTACCAATCTTTCTTTTAAAACTAAATTTTTTGTATTTGAAATTCGGATATGTGAATATAAGGTAAATTAACTATTGGCTTAATCCATTGTACTGTGTCCAGGTAGTGATCCTTATTTTCATGGACTCTAGTTCTTTGAATACGATGAAGTTTTTGTCTTTTCTTGCTCTGTTGCAATATGTACCACGAGTTCTTCGCATCTACTTATTGTGTACAAAACTCAACAAGACTCCTACTAGAGAGACTGAAATATGGATTTTATTTAAAGGCGCATTCAGTTTCTTTTTGTACGTCCTTACTAGTCATGTAAGTTTCAATCTTCATATATTAATTTATCTCAAGTGATGCTCCATTTAGTTTCCAAGTTTTGGTTGGATTTCTTGGCTGGAAACCAACTTCTCAAATTAATCAACCTTGTCACCAATTTATGAACAAAATAAACATCATTTAATTTCCTATGAATTATATATACTTTCTAGAAACTTTTCTCAAAAGTTCGTTCGCTAACTTATTAACTTGTTGATGTTCTTAGGTATTTGGAGCTTTCTGGTACTTTTTAGCTATCCAGCGGGAGACGGCTTGCTGGCAAAATGCTTGTCGAAATAACAATGGATGTGAACCTACTACCTTCTACTGTAATGGTCGTACAATCAGAAACATCACATTTCTGGACGACTTATGCTCTATAAATCCACACAATACTAATGCAACACCCTTCGATTTTGGCATGTTTGTTGAGGCTGTTCAGTCTGGTGTGTTGGAGTCAACAAATTTACCGAAAAAATTCTTTCATTGTTTCTGGTGGGGCTTGCGAAATCTAAGGTTTGAACATAATTTTGCATTATTGTATTTTTTTAGAAGGAACAAATTTACAATTGTCTAAATTTAAAATATGTGGTCTTCCTAACGTTACTCTTTTACGTTGCCTAACATCACACACACATATGTATAAATGGTATTTTATAGACGAGAGGTCCTAGAATATTTTATTACTTGCAGCACATTGAGTTTTATTACTTGCAATACATTGAATATATTTCCTCTGTTTCGATTCTGCAGTTCTCTAGGGCAAAACCTCGAGACGAGTAACTATACATGGGAAAATATCTTTGCCATTTTTATTTCTCTAAGTGGCTTGCTCCTGGTTCTACTATACCTCACTACAAATTTGAAGGTTGGTGACAGAACTTCTAAATTAAACATAATGTATCTCTTAATTAACTTAGGGCTCATATGGGAGTGGTTCTGGATAAGCAAATAATCACTTTAAGTGGTTTTTAAGTGATTTTATGGAGAAGTACATGAGATATGCTTATCCCCTAAAGTGATTCTAGGAGGGCCAAAATTACTCCCAAACGGTCTTTTGGAGTTTTGTTTTAAGGATCTCAATCTTGAAGTTCATCAAACAATTATTTTGGCTTAATAAAGCTAGATGGTGATATTTTTTTATAAAAAAGAAAATAAAAAAATTACTTAGAGACTAGATGTCGTTTGACATAATGGTCATTGGCCAAGCTAGATGGTGTTGACATGGAAATTAGGGTTAAAAGAACTCATGATTGTCGTGTAACAGATATGTATGCAGTTGGTAACTAGAACATCAGCCAAGATGAGAATTATACAGCAGCTGAAAATGAAAGATCTAGAGGTACAACTCTGGTTATCTGAAAATGACATCCCTAAGAATATGAAGGCGACGATCATGCAAAAGGTGCACAAACAACTTGAACAAAACAAAGATGTTCATGTGGAGAATATCCTCTCTATTCTTCCCTTGGAACAAAAGAGATTTATTAAGCGACATCTCTGCTGGCCAACAATGAAGAAAGTAAGTTCCCCTCATCTCCAAAGCGTTTAATTATTCGTTATTCTAATTAGTAAAGGGAGATGTTACTGGAATTGTAAAATAGTCGTCTCTTTTCTTATTAATTTTATAATTCGTAATTTAATTTTTGGAATTGTAAAATAGTCGTCTCTTTTCTTATTAATTTTATAATTCATAATTTAGTTTTTCTTCGTTTAACATGTCGTACCGTTTAAGTTTCTTAATTAACATCTAAAATTAGGTGCCAATGCTTCGAGTTATGGACGATCAAGTGTTGAAAGAAATCTTTGACTATCTTAAGCCAGTGAGCTATACAGAAGACAACCATATAATTGTTGAGGGTGAACCACTTGTTAAAATGCTCTTCATCACTCAAGGCATTTTGTTGACCTACACAACTAACAATGGTGCTGGAAAAAGTAGTGGAGGTTCTTCAACCACCAAGTGTCTTGGCAAAGGTGATTTCTATGGAGAAGAACTTCTAACCTGGGCATCAACATTCTCCCCGCTTTCAGACTTACCCATCTCCACAAGATTTGTGAAGTCCCTCACAAAAGTGGAAGCATTTGCACTCACGGCCAATGACTTGAAGATTATAGCGTCTAAATTCCAGTGGCATTTTAAAACGGATGTTGGGATGACAGTAGAATTCTGTGTAAATGTTATACAAGCCAGCTGGCGCCGCCGTGATACAAGGAGGGCTATGAACCGAACCCTCTCAGCTCCAACGATGAGCACCAGTGGCAAATCCTGATTTTCGATTGAAGGCGTCGCAATGTAAAAGTGACGAAATTTTTTGGGTTAATTACGGTTTTAGTACCTTGTGAGTTATACCTTAAGACATGTTAATTTCTACCTTCTCAATTTTAACAATGAAGTATCCCAACTTTGAAAATTTATTGCAATGTGACTCCTCATTAATTTGACCATTCAAAATTCCGTCAAGTGATGAGTTGTCAATTTTGGAGTCCTTTTTTTTTTGCTTAAATAGAATAAAATATTAAGAATAATTAAAAAATAATTAAAACCATTCTTTTTTATCTCTCTCGACAGGCCCCCTCACCCCACCTCAGCCCATCCCATGGCAGCCCCTCCTCCATCCCCATATCCACCTTCACAGCCACCACATCCCAGCCGACAAGCCCCACCCAACCACCACTCTTCTCTCTCTTCTCCCCCATCCAAAGTCAAAGAGAAGGTGAAAATCTCAGGCAGCATTGCTGCACCAGATCCAAAACCTCACCTCGCCATAGCCAGAGCCGATGCCCAGACCCTCTGCAATTGTTCGATCTTAGTGCTTTTTACTGCAATCGTTCAGACCAAGGGTCATGAGAGAGAGAGAGAGAGAGAGAGCTGGAACGTGAGGGAAAAATTGAGTTGTCGAATGTGGGCGATGGGGAAAGAGCGATTGAGTGGGGGAAAGTTTGGGTAAGGTGCAGAGGCTGGGTTCATTCACAATTTTAGTTTTTTACTCCTTATTCTTTCTGGGCAAAACTATGTCGCTAAACTCCACATCGCCACTGCCCAGCTCCTCCCCTACGTCAATCCACCTCTCTCTCTCTCTCTCTCTCTCTCTCTCTCCCGCCCACTGCCCAGCTCCTCCACCATGCCCAGATCCGACGTGGACAGTGCCTAAATCCGCCATGGACAGCGCCTAAATCCGCCATGGCCAGTGCCCAAATCCATCCTTCTCTCTTACACTGACTCTGAAGTGGACATTGAAACATATTGAAATCACAGCATTCATAGCCAGGAAGGCTAGCCGGCTCTAACCAGCGCCCACCACGCTCCTCACTCTCCTCGACCACCCCCGAACCCTAGCAGCGACCCACTCGGCCCCACTCTCACGGCCTTGGACTCGCGTCGCCGACCTCTCAAAATCCTCTTGCTCGGCTCCGGAACCGGCCTCATCAGAATCGCCGCCGTCCTCATGCTAGGGGCTTGGTGAAAGAGAGAGATATGACTCGACGGATTTGGGCGTCGGGAGGAGCTGGGCAGCGACAATGGAGTTTGAGCGATTTTCCCCAGAGAAAGAGTTGCAGAGAGAGAGAGCGATGAAGTTTTTGGTTTTTTGGTTTTTTTCGGTTTTTGTGATATTTAATAATTATTTATTACATTTAATTATAGTTTTTTAATAATATTCTATTTTAATTAAACAAAAAAGTGGGTTTTCACATGCGCCACATCATTGCTTGACAGATTTTTTAACAGTTATTTTAATGACATGCAACAAATTTAAAAAATCGGAATATCTAATTGTAAAAATAAAAAAGGTAGGGACTAATCTATATATATAAAGCAAAAGGCAGGGAATGGTGAAACATTGAAAATACCAAAAAATGCCCTTGATTAATGCAAACATTAAGAATTGAAATTATTAATTAAATGAGGATAATATTGTAAATTTACACTTTTTCATATTAAAAAAATTTTAATTTAAAAGAAAAATCAGATAATGGATCCTCTTTTTATGGAACACAACTACCCATTATCTGTTTTAATTCTAAAATAAATTTAATTTTTTCTTTTAAAAAGCCTCTCGCAGGCGCGGAAGCGCATGCAGAGAGGCTAGTATGTCTTAAGAGTATAACTACAGGATACTAAATTGTCATTACCTCAAATTTTCTTTTTTTGAAAAAAATAATACTAAAAAGCATAAAGATAGTACATTTATTCAATCCTAGTTGTGGTGCTGCTAGAGTAGAGCAAATGCATCTGGAAGAAGTTTAGAGAGCTGTGCAAGGCAAGCCCACATCGGACTTTCATCGAGCACCTTATGTGCAGGGACGGACCCATTCCCAGGCTAACTTGGGCTATAGCCCAGGTGTCTTGATTTGTTTTAGCCTATAGCAATACTCCCAGCCTACCCAAGCAAATCCCACACACCCTCTTGCGCAGAAAACATCCCTTTGCTAATGCAAGGGGAGAAATAAAAAAACATTAAGAAAGAGCCAATCATCCCTGCTACACGCCAATCAACCATGCCCTTCAATGCTTAATTAAAGCAAACCAAATTAATCTTCAATTATTAATCTTCTTTTATTGTCTTAATTTGTTGATGTTGAAATTTGGGGACTTTTTAGAGTTTATGAAGTATCAATTAGGGATTTACAATTTTTTATTTAAAAAAATTCTATGTAATTTTTTCTTTTTCGGCTTGGCCAAAACATTTGATTGTACAGATTTTGTAATTAAAAATAAACAAATGACAGTAGGTCAGCCCCTTATAGTCCCCTAAAATTCCAATATATTTTAAATTGTAATCATTCATGTGTTTACGCCATAAAACTTTAATCCTAAAAATTTCTACATTTTTGGAAAGAAAAAAAATAACTTCTACATTTGTAATTGTTTAATTAGTATGAGTTTATTTCTTTTGTTGGTTAGTGTGAGTTTTAGTTTTGGTTAATTAATATAGGTTTTGTGTTTTTAAAAAAATTGGAAATTTGTATACATCGATCCCATTGATTATGTTCCTCCATTCAAAGCTTGTACCCAAGGTAAATTTAGCCCACCCTAATTTGAAATCCTGGGTTCGTCCCTGCTTATGTGCACATAAGGGGTTGCTCAGAAAACGGCCAAGGGGTCGCCGGTGGAGTCCACTGCCAGATTTCCGACATCACAAGGGATCATGTGACCCCTCTTGTCCCAATGTGCGTCCACCACTGAGGAGGGCTATCCAAACCCTCTCATCTCTGGTTAATTACTATTATGACTCATCCGGTCCACTTGAAGGACGGTATAAAAACAATGTATTAGGTCATTTTTTCTTAAACTACACTAATGTATATAGAAGGGGTTTCAACTCGAGTGGAACTACATAAGTAAATTTGTATTATTTAATTGATGTAATTTTTTTTTTTTTTGAGTTATATATTTCAATCAATATTAATAATATTTTTTATTATATAATTTGATAGGTTATGTTATTTTTTTAATACGAAAATTAGAGAGTATGAATTCATGACGATAAATAGTAACTTTTTTACTGTACATTATGTTTTTGGATGCCATTTACATACTAGTTTTATTCTAGTCAATCGTCATGATTGGGCAATATATAATTTGTGATACTAGTCTGCCGTGCTGGTAACACTACAATAAAATGAAACTATTAAAAATTTATAAATAAAATAAAATGAGAGAATGAGACCAGATAAATTTGAAGGGTCCCACCTTACACTGTCCCTCAGAAATTTGTTGTTTTTGTCTGATGATATCCCACAAATTAAAAATAATAATTTGAGTTAGCACAAATTAATTACTTTCAGGCAAGGTGTTGAACAACGCACGAACAGCCAAGATTCGCTCTCTGTCCTCCACGTGTCCCCACGTCTCCTAAACCGTGCGAGAAGACTCAGATTAACACCCGCCAAATCAAAATTCCCCTTTCACCTTTCGGTGTCCAAAAAAAAAAAATCCCAAATATTAAAAACATAAAAGGAAAAAAAAAAGAAAAAAGCGAAGGAAGTCATTTCTCTACTAATTAACGGCCACACCAGATCTAATCTAACTGTAGAGAGAGACAAAGACAGAGAAGACACGCAGAGAGTTTGAGCTTGCGGCTATGGAGGAGAAGCTTATAATGAGGCTGGAATCGGCTGTGGCGCGCCTAGAGTCGCTGTCGCTGTCGGGCGGTGCGGCGTCTGCGGCGGCGAGTGGCGACGACGGGCCGCTGGACCCGTCGATTTTGGCCTATGAGGATCTGATTCGGCAGTATCTGGGTAGGGTTTCTGCCGCGGCCGAGAAGATTGGGGGACTGATCCTGGACGTCACCAAGGTTCTCCAGCAGGCTTTTGCTGTTCAGAAGGACCTGCTGATTCAGGTGAAGCAAACAAAGGTCAGTCTCGCTCATAAATCGTAATGCTTTCTTTGAGCTAGTAGTTTTGAGTGTGAATTTATGTGTTTTTTTTTTTGGGTGCTGAATTTTTAGATTTACTTATGGATTGTTTGGTTAGTATAAAGATTCGACGAGGTTTATGTTTTGATTATGAAATGTTGATTGGATTTTAAAAAACGTGTGCTTGATGTTAAATATTGACTGGGTCGTAAACGATTATGTAAAGGACCATGAAAGGAATGTGCTATCTTGTTGGGTTTGGATCGGATTGGTGCGTGTTCATTTCATCTTGGTGAGCAGTTGATGGGGAAAAGAAAATACGATATTTGGATTATAGTAGCAATAACATAGTTGGGCAACAATCAATTTTCCTGTTCAGACTTTGGTGTTGCTGACTTTTGGGGCGACTCGAATGATTAATGTTACAATTCTTTGGATATTGTGAATGTTAGTAGTAGCAAGGAGTGTGAGCTTATCTACTTTAAATGTTTTCTATCTTGTTCTTTTCCTTGTGAAATGAAATTCATTATGTTCAATGGGAATGCTCGTTGTTGTGCAGAAACCTGACAATGCAGGGTTGGCTGAATTTCTGAAGCCCCTGCATGAGGTTATCACAAAGGCAAATGCACTGACAGAAGGGAGGCGGTCTGATTTTTTCAACCACTTGAAGAGTGCTGTTGACAGTCTCTCAGCTTTGGCTTGGATTGCCTATACAGGGAAAGAATGTGGTAAGCAAAATAAATGATTTCTAAGTTGTGTTAGAAGCAGATGAACTCATTCATTTTTCCAATCACTTATTATGCTTTTGCCTTTTCAAGGTATGAGCATGCCTATCGCACATGTCGAAGAAAGTTGGCAGATGGCTGAATTTTACAACAACAAGGTACTATGCATATCTGTGAGAATCTGGTAAT